GATGGCCGCACACAAAGAGTTGTGGTCAATGGCTCAATGTCCAGCTGGAGACCAGTAACGAGTGGTGTCCCTCAGGGATTGGTGTTGGGACCGGTCTTGTTCAACATCTTCGTCGCTGACATGGACAGTGGGATTGAGTGCGCCCTCAGCAAGTTTGCCGATGACACCAAGCTGTGTGGTTCTGTTGATACGCTGGAGGGAAGGAATGCCATCCAGAGGGACCTTGACACGCTTGTGAGGTGGGCTGATGCCAACCTCATGAAGTTTAACCATGCCAAGTGCAAGGTCCTACACCTGGGTGGGAGCAATCCCAGGCACAGCTACAGGTTGGGCAGAGGAGAGATTCAGAGCAGCCCTGTGGAGAAGGACTTGGGAGTGTTGGTTGATGAGAAAATGAACATGAGCCGGCTTCAGTGTGCGCTTGCAGCCCAGATAAGCCAACTGTATCCTGGGCTGAAAAGCGTGACCAGCAAAGGATGATCCTGCCCCTCTGCTCTGCTCTTGTGAGACCTCACCTTATTGTGTGTGTGTGTCCTCAACATAAAAAGGACATGGAAGCAAGTCCAGGATGAAAGCCAACTGTGTCCTGGAGAAGAGAAGGCTGCTTGGAGGGCTGCATCTGAAGGTGGCCTAAAGGATGTGTGACTCAAGGGGTAATGGGTTAAACAGGGGAAGTTTAGATTGGATATAAGGAGGAAATTCTTTACTGTAAGGGTGGTGAGGCACTAGAATAGGTTGCCCTCTCTCTGGCAGCGTTCAAGACCAGGGTGGACAAGGCCTTGGGTGATATGGTTTAGTGTAAGGTGTCCCTGCCCATGGCAGGAGGGTTAGAACTAGATGATCTTAAGGTCCTTTCCAACCCTAACTATTCTATGATTCTATGATTCTATGATCATCCAGCAACAAGCACAAAAATCTCCACAGTTGCAGTTTGAGATTTATTTTAACTTTTCAGGAAAGCAAAATCTCAGAATCAAAACAAAAAGAGTGAAGGAACTGTGGGAAACCTGTTCCTAGATAAATGTGAAGTCAGATTATTTTGCTTTTTCCATCCTGGCAGGGCTGTTGGGATGCCACCCAGAGAGGACAGAGGATGTGTTGGTCTAATGACCAACAAGGCCAGAGGAGTCTGAGTCCAGACACTGCTAGTGTACAGAGACACGTCAGGCAAATCTCTAATTGCCTGTGATTTATTCCCATTTATACGAGGGGCAGAGGCTCAGTCCCGGGAATGCGGTGAGCATTTAATCAATTAGGGCTCAACTGCTGCTTTGAAATCCTGGCTTCTGAAACATGTGGGGTAATTGTAGAAAGTCCTTTATTATTCCCATCAGCAGGGTCCGTGCCACAGTTTCACACATGAATAAGACCTTTCCCAAGCCTGGCTGGTCCTGCTCCCCATCTGGGTGACCTGCTGATGTGATGGTTCACAGCTAGAAGACATGGCTGTGCTGCCCACCACGAGCTGGAGCTTTCTTTGAGACCTTCCAGACAGAGCTGTGAGAGAGGGACCACAGGCAAGCTGAGGACAGACAACCACAAGACTGTGGTTGTTTTGCACTGATGAGAGAGGGCATTCAGTTTACAAGCACATGCCCCCGGGATGGCACTGAAAGGAAGCAGGGGGCATGGCTGTGTTCCTTGGAGGAAGGAAGGGACTTGCCATGGAGATGAAGATGGAGATGATGGAGATGAAGATGGAGACAGAGATGGAGCAGACTGTGGTGACTATGATCAACGGAAATGTCACTGGCCTTTAAACCCCTCTGTGCTCCAGCCAGATGGCAAGCTGGTGGCAGCAGTGATCTCTATGCTGTCCTGTGCCTCTGGCAGCACCCATGTCCTGTGCTGCCCAGCGAGGAAGCAGCACCACCTGCAGGGACCCCAGCTGCTGTCCCAGGGTGCTGAGGAGTGAGCCCGTGCCCCCCAGGCAGTGCCTGTGACAGCAGACAGTGCAGCCAGCACGCTGCCACAGGGCTGGAATGGGGCCGTCCATCAGCTTCATGAAAGGAAGCCAAGTGAAATTTCTTAGGCGTCTCAGGTGAGAAGAAGGTGAACTATTATTACTGATAAGGCGTTTTCCATCCAAGTAGGACATTTTAAAATGCACCATTCCCAAACAAGCATTTCTCAGAAGCCTGAGCAAAACCAGAACCCACTGGTTCAAGCTCCTCCTGCCTCCTCCCCCAGCCTCGCTTCCCCATTTGCCTTTTTTCAAGGAAGAAAGAAAAAATGTTGAAATGGGAAGCCTGCCATCAGGACTGAGATTTCATGTTCCAGCAGCCTCAGTGGCCACACCAAACCATGTGGGACCCTAGTGCCGAGGTTGTTACCCATGGGGGTGGTCATGCTGCACCACAGGGCTGGTGGCTGCAGCCACTGCTGGGCTCTACTGGGACCCAGCGGCTCCTGGAGGTGGCACCAAGTGGAATAGCATCTCTACCTACTCACAAAGTGGCGGGAGCTGTGGGGATCGGGAGTGCTATGAAGGGCACCCTCCTCTTCCTCTAGGGGCTGTTCACCCTCAAGTGTGTTAGAAGGGAGCTGATGGCTCGAACCTTTTTCCCTGCTGTATTTGTGCTGTTTGCTGCTGCAGTCAATGCCCTTGGATATGGTTTCCCTTCTGTGGGACCGTTGCCCACCTTCAAAACTAGCACCCAAGTGCTCATTCTGCCTGGGGCAGCCTCAGTTTGGCAAGTGCCCAAGGAGGACGACCCTTCTACCTACTATGAAATGTCCTATGTGACATTTTGCCATGGCTTGCTGTGTCCAGATCACATGGCTGGGTCCATAGCTAGTGACTCAGCCTTGATGCAAAATCACTGCGGCCAAAGCTCTTGCTGTGCTCTGCATCAAAGCGAGGATGTCAAAATAGTGACAGAGCTCTCCAGACCTGATAGCATCCACGCTCCACCATGCATGGCCAGGGTCAGCATAAATCAACCTTGCCCAGGAAACTGCTGATCCAGAAGAAAATTGTGCCTCCCAAGAGCAGAATAAAGCTGCTCTTCACAGGCGAGGTGAGGTGATGTGGCAGAGCTCAGGTGAAGCAAACACCCTGCTGCTGTCGGTGGTTTTATGGCAGTGATGACTCTTAGGCTGTGAGGCAGCACCAAAACTGCACATGCCTTTGAAACACCATATGTGCCAGGGCTACCTTCTGCACCTTTGCTGGGCAAGATGCACAGACACAATGACTTCCCGTATTGCAGAGCTGCTTTCGTGCCAGTCCTTGCTCCTGCTGATGTCTGACGACAGGCTTGTCAGATAACCTCAGGGGTCAGCCTGCGGCCAGGGTAGAAAACACCGGCAGAGCGAGCGTTTGGTCGCTCCATTGCCTCAGCCCTTGGTGTGTGCGAGTGCAGGAGCGGGGAGAAGCCAGTTGAGAAATACGAGGTCTCACAGAGAACTGCACTGACTCCCTGGGGAGCATGCAGCAGGGAAATGCCATCAATCCATGTTTTCTAGTGAATGGCACTGCCACATAGCTGCAAAAAGGAGAGTGGAACAGCGTAGAGGCTGTCTGATTACCTTCTCCCCATTTCTCCTCTCCCCTCACTCTCTCTAGTTCATCCCAGGGATGCTGGGATTCACTTATTTCTCCCTCTGACCAGGCTGTGACTGCCACTGTTTCTCATGGTGGAAGAGGTACATTTTAAGATGCCATTTACTCCCTGTTAGCTTTAGCAATTATTCCCCAAGGTACAGAGGAACTTTCCCTGGTAACACCCTTTTTTCCAGCGGCTGAGCCAGGACCCCTTTACAGCCATGATTACTGCCAGGATCCATCAGAGGGCATCCCCCTGCTGTGACCCGTTTGTGTCATTCCCTCAGCAGACATGTGCCTCAGTGGCCTGGGGTACCCAGGGGGTGGCTTTGCTGTGCTGCCTTGGGGAGAGACACAGCTCCTGTGTGAGGGTGGAGGTAGCTGGGTCGCCTGGAAAACAGCGGGGGGGTTGAACTTTATCAAAGGGCTGACTTCTGAGAGCTCCAGGCAATCCCTGCATGCTCCAAAGTGTTTCCAATGCTGTCTGTCAAGGCAGATGATGCAGCCCAAGCATATTTAATATGATCCAGAGAGCAAAGGGGAAAATAGTTCAGTGACAGGCAGCAGTGACTGCTATAAGTACCTCTGACAAAAATGTCCCTGTGTGACTGCAGGTCTTCATTTCTCAACCCTTCTTACAGCTCTGGGCAAGAAAATCATCCCACCTTTTCTGTTTCCTCCTGAAGGATTGCTGGCTGCCTCAGTGGAGAGAGAGAGGATTTGGGGGATTCTTCTTCTGGAAGAATAATTTTGCTTTTGGGGATACGCCACAAGCACAAACACACACATGCCATGCATATGTGAATAAGACAGTCGTGATTGCAGCTACCCTTTTGGCTGTAAGCTCACTTCTCCCACAGCGTGCTTTCTCCTACAGTTCACCCCACACCCTTTACCCTTCATCCTGTCTCCACAGGGCTTCCCTCACTCCTCTCTTAGCCTCAGACATGTAGGAGCTCCCCCACACCTCCTGTGTCCTCCATAGTCTGAACTGTGTACAGCATCCCACAGCTTGCCTCCTCACTTATGCACGCACTGATACTTATGCCTCACTTATACTGCTCACTGATGTTCACCAGGCCACAGTGACACTGAACTGAAATGCCTTTATAAGCCTTTAAGGGGTATCACTCTACAGCCTGCAGCAGAAATTGTCTGGGGGGCCAAGGAGACCAAGTCTTGACTTGTCACCCCCCCGCCCCCATGTTGTCTGTTACCTACCCCCATATAGGTAGCAGACAACAGAGTTGAAAAACTGATTATGAAAAGCCCACTCACAAACCCAAAGGCAACGAAGTACATTATTCTCCTTTGGGAAAGGTACTCCCAGCCCACTAACCAGGGCAGAGGACAGTTACCACCCATGGTAAAAAGCATGGCTGCCACTTCATGCTGGAGGCATCCTCTCCCAGCCAGCACTGAAAGTCATGTCGTGCCCCCTCAGATAATGCACCTGGGACAGGCTGAGCTCTGCTGTGATCCTACCACGAGATAATGCTGGGAGGAGCTCACTGGGAAGAGGTCGTGTTTCCACAGTGCCCAAGTCAGCACTATAAAGCCACTCCTCAGGGAAGATTAATAATTTAGGGAAAAAGATAAAGTCTCTATTGTGTTCTGAGTAGAGTCTCATATTTACTTATCACGATAATGTCTGAGCCCCTTCCGGTAATGCACTCAGCTATCTGGTGCACGTTTGGCATGTTTGTTCTCTTGCCCTCTCCCCAGAAAGAAAAGCATCAGCCTGCCCAATTGCTTGGAGAATGGCAGGCACTCGCTCAAGTGCTGGTCATGGTTTATCAGGTACAAGATAGTCCTATTATAGGTATTCAGAGTAGGATCTAACAACCCAAGGTAATCATGAACAGGAACCACCCATGGCCCTTTGAGAGCTTAGAAACACAAACCCTTGGAGAAGGATTGTCAATCAGTTTGGTAGCTCTCCCTGCAATCTGGCGTATTTGCTGAACCCACATAGATCACTGGGACTGATTTAGGCTCTTCAGCTTTCCACAGTGATTCCTGGAACTGTTCTACGGTAGCTTTTCCTGGACAAGCCTGTGTGCAGCACCCCCGTCCCAGAGAACGTATGACTAGTTCATGCATCTCGGTTGAAGTGCCCAGGAGTAGAATATTGTGCTTTAAATTCACAGCTGGCACTAATACCAGATGAATTTTCTGTGTGGACAGGCAAAAACCAAGAGCACCCTGGAAATGTTCATAGTCAGCTCATAGTGTCACGAAGAGGTAATAAGACACACCTCAGTTCAGGAACAAGACCCAAGGTATGAACATAGGTACAGACAGAAGTTAAAAGTGAGACATGCTTTCCTTCCTGTTGGCTAAACCAAGGGGCTGCAACTCCTATGGGAAGTGCTTAATGAGAAAGGAAAGTGTGACTGATATCTGAGTCTGTATTGAGCATATTTCATGAAACCAGCACACTGAGAGATCCCTTCTGAGAAGTCGTGAAGTAGGATGACCCAAAGCCGGCTGGTTTGCAGGAGAGCACAGTGCATAACACAGTTGCTCACTCTCCGTTAGCTGGATGGAGGGAACATCTTAGTCACAGTTAAGGGAACCATTCACAGGGAGCTGAAACCTTTACCTCCTGTTGCAACAGAGGAGCTGTTGTTTTTTTCTTGTCCACCACTTATGTCACCACTTGTGCATGGCAGACAACTCTCCCCCACTTCCCAGCAAGCTTTCCATGTCATTGAATAACACCACTGATGTCCCTGCGGGGAGGTGCCCAAAAACTGGTATCTCACAGGGCGCATTGCAAATACCTTGGCTGAACAGCCACTGCAGAGCGAGTGAGTACATATTCATGAGGAGCTGGTATCTGGTTAACGCTGCTTTTTTTTTACTGAAACTGCAGCTCTTTATGAGAATCAGTAAGGGTCCTCCAGGGGCTTGACTCACTGGCCATGAGGTAAATGCCTTTCATCAGAGGCCAGATGAAAAGTTCTCTAAGATCAAAGGAGACTCACACCGATCCCAGTGGGTTTTTATTTGGGGGTTAAGGGTCTGGGGTTAAAATGTTAGCTCTGTTCATGAGCTAAGGGTGGGTCAGTTCTGTCAAAGTCTTCCTGGCAGCAGAGCTCTTGTATCCAAGGGTTTGAAAATTAAAGACCTCTGAATAAAAGGATTTAAACCCACATTTCCCATCCCATGTGATACTGCATAGCACGCTGGGGTCAGAAGAGATGATCTCATTCCCTCCTGCTGAAGCTGTTCCGCTTGACATAGATAAATTAAGTATTGATGCAAGTATTGATTACTGTTGTGTTACATATTGGAAAACTTACCCTCATCCTTTAGTGGACGTTTTTCCATCTCGCTATAATTAGATGCCCAGGCGGATACTCTTCCCACTGAGGAAGCAAGGCTGTCTTGACTCAGGCTGCTGGGGTCAAGACTCAGGCTGCTGGGCAAGGCAGTAGCAGAAAGCACAATTGTGTTAGTAAACAGAGGGAGAACACTGCCCAGGACAAGAAGCACTGGCAGCAAGGTGCTGGGTTGTGTTTAGAGGCTGCATTTGAAGAGCACAGTGAGTGCAAGGGGGAGGAGATCCTCTGAGAGGGTTACTGTGCATGGGAGATCACTGGTTGGGACTGGGAAGATCACAAGTAGGATGTTTCTAAGGAAAAGGCTCCTCTGGCACTGTGACTCTGGGTGTGACTTTTCAACAGTGTTTATGAAGCCATTATATGAGGCCATATCTACAGTGGGAGTATTTTACCAGCCTGGATTCAACAATACTGGCAAGGCACATGGTTTGTTCTGCACTTTGGGTCAACATAGTACAGCCACACACATCTCTCTGGGCAAAGCGGAGCAAACTGTTCCAGTGAGTTGGTCACTGTGCTTTTGCTTAGGGAGTTTGTAGCTGTCTTGGTGAAGATTGCACCTCTTTATACCCTAGCTTTACCCAGCAGGTCTGTAGGATAGACATGGTCTTCACGAATCACATCCTCTACCTGCGTGCCTTTTGAAAACACCTTAATGCTTCTACATTTTGGAAGCCCTTCATGTGGAGAATGCATACAAAGTGGAGTTAAAGAGTCCTACAAATACTAAAGCCTCCAAAACAGAGGAGGGCAAAACAGTTCCTCCCGCTATGTGGTTTGATCTATGCCCTTTTCAGATTTTGCTCTGAATCACAAGGTTAATATAGGTCTCATAGCACAGAGACGTTTTCAGTAGGAACTGAGTAGTTTCAGTTAAAGTGATGTACAAACACAGAAGCTTCATATCTATGAGGCAAAATTAAAAGGAAATGTGGTTTTGGTCAAAATACCTGATTTTGATAGATTTTTCAATGCAATTAAGGTACACCTACATGGGAGGTGAATCTGCCTGGACCACTTTCAAAGCCTAGCAGCCATCTGCCCTGTGGTTCTGACCTGGTGTCATTGATAATCTCTGGGCTGTTTGATATGGGTCACGGGGCTGTGTGCCAATGCCGTTCACTGGCATGGGGTGCATTCACTTCAGAAATAGAAAGTAAACAATAGGTCAGATAAGAACCGTCACATGTTATTCACAGAGAAAAGAAAACTTAAATAAGCCTCTTTTTTTGTAACATAATGTAAGCTAAAGCTCTGCTTTCTGCCAATAAAGCATCCTTGAGTGTTTACTGGCTGTGAGGGAGACAGATGAAACATTTTGCAGTTTACCAGCCTGTCTGTAGGGTTAATATTTGCACATGGTGGAGCTTTTTTCTTTTTTTTTCCCTTTCCCAAAATCAACTGAGAAGTGCATGATTTCTCGTTGCAAACATCACCGTCTTCTGTAATCCTGCCAGAATCAATAGATTCCAGCAATGTTGCTGATGGGGAGATGTGTTAGTGAAACAAACTCACTGCAGTCTGTTTTCAATGCTTTTGGCGTGTATGCTCTCATTGGAGAAGAGTGCAGGGAGGAATATGAAACAAAACCACAAAACTCATTTTATGTGACACCTTATCCCACCCAGAAGCAAAGAAGCACTTAAATCCTCCCAGTCGCTCTCTGAATGGTGCTACTGTCAACAGCTGAAAGCAGCATTGCCTAAAGTGGCATTTATCTTTGGGGCTATCTATCAGATTCCTTTCTAATTTTGTTACATGCATACTTCTTGCTCTTTACGCCGTACATGGTTAAAGGGAATCTTTGTTAACTCTCCACAGGTTATGACAAGGTCAGGACTGAGCACCGTACATCCTTTCGCTTCCTAAATATCAGGCCTTTAATCCCAAAGGCACCGTCATGGAGGTGGAAATGCACTACAAGGATACCTTCTCTCCAGTCTGCCCATAAGGTTACCTCTGCAGACAAAACCTGGCAGACACATGGGAAGCCTTCTCTGGAAGACTGCCCTGAGGTCTGCAGCATAAGGATGAGTTTATGTGGGATTTCAGGCAGAAATGAGCCACTTTCTTCCTGCTTTAGGTTTATGTTTAAAGAGCATCAAGAAGGGATTTATCCTTGTGCTGACCTATCCTGGATTTCTGAGACAGACAAAGCACTGGAGTGACCTGGATGGTTATCCTACCTCTGGCCAGGGCTGCACAAGGTGTCCTTGTCAACTCACAGCCCTGCTCCATTTCCCCAGGATGTACAGGGTTGTCTCTTTTGCTGGCCATTTTGAGAATGACCACACAGTACTTACACATAATTAATTTGCAGCCCGTTAAAACTAGAAGGCAAATCCTGCTGCCATTGGTTTGTCAGTGGACAAGTTTTGGCCTACCTATGGTGGCAGAGAGACGTGTTATCATTTAGGTGTTCGATAGTTTCTTGTCTCTGGCCCAACAGACAAAAATTAGGACCTTGATGAACAACATCAACCATTCCTAGTGCATTACAGGAATGTATTGGTGTGCCAAGGAGGCTGTGCCTCCCTTCTCTCCAGTGCCCCTAGGAGGAAAGCCCAAGTGCTATGCGGTGTCACAGTAGTAGCAGTAAGTTGCTTTAGAAGACAAGCCATCGTCTGCCACTGCTGTTTGAGAGGGACAGTCTCAGTATGCAGACCCACAGCCAGCCTGGGAAAGCACTTGGCAAAGATGGAGCAAGCCTACCCTTTATGCCAGCACACAGGGAGCCGAGTCTCTGTGGTCAGTTCATCCTCAGGAACTCCTTGTCCTCTGCCACTGAGAGGCAGAAAACTGAAGAACTGAGCAGGGAATCAGTTGCACAAAGAAAAGCCATTCAAAGTTGAATGCTGTCCCAGGCTTCTTAACCATCTGATACACAGATGCATGGAGAACCCCTTCTGTAAAGATACCTCCATGCGTGCCCCACTCACCATGCAAAACCTCAGGCTACAATGAACTGTCAGAATAGGGGAACTGAGTCTAGATTTGGGGGCAAAAGTTTACTTATGATCCCCCATCTGAGGAGGCAGATGAATAACCCATGTTGACAAAAGACCTGCAGAAACAAATCAAGAGAAAAGGAAAACACCGTGGATGGTTGAAAGCCTGCATGTTCCTCAGCTATCCAAACTTCTCCATCTCCCTGAGGGACCGTGAGAGCTTGATTGATTCCTCTGGCTGCAGGAGAGGAGGTGAGGGGGGAACAGCTTTAATACCTCTGACTCCAATAGGTGAGCAGTCATGGTTTGCATCTCATGAATTTCAGTAGGAGTCTGACAGAAACAGAAAGCTCTCTAGCTGTTTATGGTGCACAAACAGCTGCTCAAGAGGAGAAACATCTCTGCAACATATGAGTCTGTCATAAAAGTCATCCCTAGATTTTCAGGAATTTCTGGTGGTATCCCTATAGAAATCCCTTCTATACCACAGCTGTCTGAGCCAGGCTGAGAGCAAACATACACCCTCTATCTCAGATGCCTGTAAATCTGATAGAGAAGGCAAAATTAACACCACGCTGACTGAATTAACTTCAGTGAAGTTACTTCTTTTGATATATGCCTGTGTGCCCAGGAGAAGAATCAAGATCTCTAAACTCTATTTCACCATGTCTTGGTTTTGTAGCACTAAAGAAGATCAATGAATATGCACTAAACAAGGAACAAATGTATGTGAACAACTTCATGGATAAATGGTTAAATTCTTGTCTGTTTTACAGTGCTGTAAGTCTTATAGACAGCATGACCACTGGTGGCACCTCTCCAGCAGAGATTTGCTGGTCTGACAAATTTCATACTTACACCAAGGTAAGCTGGAGCAAAATATGGACAGCACAATCAAGCAAATGGCAAATGAGCTGAGACATCCCTGTTCCATAGCCACTTGCAAAGGATAACATTGCCAGCAATTCCATTTATTCACTCCTGTGCAGTAGGCACCAAAATCTTGTATGAGCCATTAAAATCTGTCAAGGGGCATTTAATGGGCACCAACAAAATGAGATGACTGCATTTAACAATTAGGAGAACTATTAATCCACATATGTCATGGGGAGGAATAGCAGCCTTTCTCCTACGTGAGCAGTCTCACAGAGTTTTTCTCAGCCCTTTGAAATGTTTATGTGCACACTGATGTGCCTATGTGGGTGTGTAATCGTGCCTCTGTGCAGAGTGGGACATACAGTGAGACACGTCTTCATTGAAGACAGGGTCACTTATAAAGGGATTGAGTTTTCTTTCTAATCTTTCACTGACCACAGCAAACATTTCAGGCCTGTGAGAACTTCCTTTGCTACTCGTGTGCCTGGTAAGGACAGTTCTGAATAGCAACCACAAGGGAGAATCGCTGTCACCAACAGCCTTGCCCCACCAGTGCTCCGTTCTCCTGCATAGTCTCTGCTATAGCACTTGTTGGCAACTGGCTTTTGCTACTTCATCCCCCAGGAAAGCCAAGGCAACATTTTACTGCAGAGCCCTAAGTGTGCCCGTGGGCAGCTGATGGGGACTTCTTTCTGATGGGAACTGGGAGTAGGATGGGTGAAAAAGCTGCACAGCCACGTGCACAGGGCTTGTAGGAACGACAGTGGTGGGAATCAATAAACAGAACAGGAGGATGAATGCACATGTCCACGCTCCCTGGAAATCCCCAGGCTGCCAGTACAGCCTGCTTCGGGAAGAGTTAAAAGCAGAGCTCTGGAAAGTTTGGCCAGATGACTTCCTGATGGAGTTTATACAAGTATAGTGTGCACAAGGATGTATGTGCCTACGTGCCACTTCTCCCGGAGCAGCCTGAGCTGAGTAGAGGGATGAAAAAAAAAAACCAAAAAACATCACAGATGGGTTCAGGGTGGAAACAAGCACCCTGTGCAGGGTCATCACACCCCTGTCACTGCAAACCTGCCAGACAAATCTGTGTGATGCCTCCTCTGCTATGTAGCCCCCTTGCCGCAGAGCAAGAGTGCAGAGGGCAGAGACAGGGGTGAGACAGGGCAAAAGGGAGGCAGAAGAGAACATGAGCACGAGGAATTTGCAGTATCCCAAACCAGCTGGCGATTGCTCAGCTCTCAGGACATCATCAGTATTCAGGGAGATAATGCACTCACTGGGATGGCCGGACAATACAGGGGTGATGCAGAGGTGATGCCAGGGTGATGCCAGGGAGACTGCAGGTAGATTCCAGGTTGATGTTGGGGTGATGCCTGCAGGTGCAGTCAGGAAGTATGATGGTATGCAGGTACATACACACGAGCTGGTGTCATAAGACCTAGCCTGGATAAAAATGTCAGTCAAACACTAGCAAAAGGTTGTTAGCATGGATTGTGCAAACCTGTGCAGGACTTTGGTACCTAAACTATCCCCTCTTCCCACTAGCTGTGCATGTGCTGTCTAGATGGCAAGTCCTCAGGGTTACCTTAATGCGCTCATTTGCATGTCTGACTATGGAGTTGTGATAGCCAGAGCTGCTAACCACAAGGAAAATGAGCTTGCATAGGCACAGGAACCTAGTTCTCACTACCACGATTTCTTCCAGGGAAGGACTTGCAAAGATGGCTAATGATGTCTTTAGCTGGCTATCCTGTACCCCTTTCAGCCTGGGCTGTTCCCTGGGAATTAGTTGTTGCACCCAAGTGGACAGTAGTTCATGCAGTGATTTACAGAATCACAGAGAATCACAGAATCCTAAGGGTTGGAAGGGACCTCAAAAGCTCATCTAGTCCAACCCTCCTGCAAGAGCAGGGTAACCTAGAGTACATCACACAGGAACTTGTCCAGGCGGGCCTTGAATATCTCCAATGTAGGAGACTCCACAACCCCCCTGGGCAACCAGTGCTCTATCACAGTAAAGAAATTTTTCCTGATGTTCACATGGAACCTCCTATGCTCCAGTTTACACCCACTGCCCCTTGTCCTATCACTGGACATCACTGACAAAAACCTAGCTCCATCATCCTGACACTCACCCTTTACATATTTGTAAACATTGATGAGGTCACCCCTCAGTCTCCTCTTCTCCAAGCTAAAGAGACCCAGCTCCCTCAGCCTCTCCTCATAAGGGACATGTTCCACTCCCTTAATCATCTTTGTGGCTCTGCACTGGACTCTTTCAAGCAATTTACAACAAACTTATCTTCTAACTCCTTACTCCAGCTTTGTTTTAGAGCTAAGACTTCAGTATTGTAGCTATATGGAAGTGGAGGCATCTCCTAAGAATTCTTTGGCGTGTGTAAAAGTAGAGGAATGCAGAACTGGCATGGGACCCAAAGCAACACCTGAGATTATCAGCCTCAACTGCCTTGAGACCGCGAGCCTTTACTACTATGTGTGGATCAGGGGCCCTTGCTGGCCTCTCAAAAGAGAGGAGCAGAGACAAGGAGGCAGGGACAAATCAAGGAGTATGTAGAGTAGTGTAGACTGATAGACTGGTCTGCTCTAGACCGGTCAGTAAGGAGGCAAATTCCATATTACTCACATTTAGCAGTAGATCAACCTTACTCTCAATTACGCCATTTCTCCAGAGTGCACTTGCCTCCTCCTCCTTCAAAGCAGGGTTAGAGGGCACCATCTATGAAAGGATTAAGCATCAGCCCCATTAGGGATGCTTAGTCAGTGAACCCGTGCTTCTCATTGCATGCTTTCAACCTGCTGTCATTTGATAATCTTGTGGAAGGGTTTACAAGTTTGTGCTGTCTCAGAAATTTCTGCCTGTTCATTGCAGCTGTACTCAGAGGGGATGCTCTGTGCGCAGTAAGTCTCTTAGTGAAACCATGACTAATTGCACCAAGAGGTCAAAAGGAAGGTCTTCTGAAGAGCTCTGTTGCAAACCCTGCCTGCATTCCCAGAGTCAAGCCAGGTTGCTTACAGATCCATCACCAGTAACTAAGAAGCTGCAGATAGAATTCACACAATGTGAAGCAAAAATAAAAATTAAAGAAAATTCTTTTCCCAGTACTTGCGCCGACTTTGGAAAGTAAAAGTTGTAAATAGTAGAAACTTGCCATTTAAATAAAGTGAACATATTCACTGGTTTCTTTTCGATCAAAATACTAACACTGAATGCTATCATTTGAGCAACCAGATTCCAAAAGTAATGTTACTTTATTCAGCTGGATCTTATTTTATTTTTTTAAATTGAGCCCACAGCCTTATCTTTGACTGGAGCAACCACAAGTCTTAAATTCTGAAGTGTGATTCTCTAGAAGGCAGTTTTGACTTCTGACTTACTCCAACCCTTTCCTGGGTGTTCCCATCTTTACACTTCTATCAAAGATCTCTGCCATTTCCATCTCGTTTCTCTAATGCCCAAAGCAAAAGAAACCTGTTGTGTTACAGTCTGCAGTGCTAGTAGGAGAATTAGGAGGAAGATGTGTTACATTTTGCAGGGGTAGCAAGACACCTGCTACAGATGAGAAGTCATGGAGTTGATTTTTGCATCAGATTGCATCAGATTCAGAGCTGATTTTCTGCCTTTTGTCACCCTCCCCACAGATTAGCACAGGATCAAGCCAAGATAATTATGGTTATGATGAAATGCGATAGCAGAAAAGAAGCGATTTCATCTCAGTGCAAGCATTTCACACACTGGGTTGTCTCCCAGTTGAGCTGATGTGTTAAAGAACAGAGGTTGTTTACCTCTGTGTAACTTAATCTACTCTGGGTACACAGCTTGCATTGCATTGCAACCAGCAGTGTCCCCACTCCCAGGTTGCAGCCTGAAACACAAGTGGGGAGCAGAGAATGTGTTTCAGACTCCCTACCAGAATGACAGACACCTAATGCCAGCCACCACAGTAGTCTCCCTGTTTGGGTGGGAAGGACAGGCAGCATCAAACAATGAGCAGATTCATACCAGATTTATTCCAAACCCTAAGAATCAGATCCATCTTTCCTAAGAGACAAGCTCCTTTTCCAAAAAGAAGAGTGAATTAAGGTCAAATACTTTCAATCCTAAGCAACATAAAATGAAGAATAACAAAGTTTGGTTGGCATCCCGTGTGGTTTACCAGCGGTGCCTGGGTTAGCAGGAGGAATGCAGTGTTTGCCTGCACAATGCAAAGGCCAGCAAGCCCTGTTGCAACACCGCGTGGCAGCGGAATGACATCAGGTCACATTACATGGGAGCATGCCACGCAGAAAAGGTCATACCCTGGGCTCCGACCCAGCCTGCCCCACTTGGAAAGCGCATTTCTACACCCAGGGCTGGCTGCCTTACTCTGGAAAATGCCTGCTTAAGCTCAGCTCAGGCTCCGGGCTGCAGGCAAATGCCACCTGAGCCCCCGGCAGCAGCTGATCTCCAGCAGGAAAACTCTGAGTAAGCATAGGCAGAAAGGAAAAAATAAAGGAATTGAGAGGGAGGACTCGTTTCTTAGAAAGAAAAGGGGAACAGGTCACTGTGGGTCTGGCCAGCTGATACAGGGTGTTTCACAACCACCAGACCTATGTGAACTAAAGTGGGTGCCAAGACCTGTCCAGAAATGAGCGTAACTCTCCTAGGACAACCACAGCTAACAGCCTCCCTTGCAGCACAACTTCTCCTTCTCTTTCTTCCTTTTGGGGTATTTCCTGAGCTGCTGCAAGCTAAAGGTAGATGCACAGGGGATGGCAGACATCAGCAGTGCCTGGCAGTGCCCCCATGGATATAACCAGTCCTGTCTGTGTCCTCCCCACCTGCTACACATTGCTGTGTGTCATTGTGTTATAAACCAGCAAAGCTGTGCCCTTGCAGGCACCAACTCTCTCTGACATGGCTCTGTGTCCCTTGCCCGTCCATTAACCCCTTGCAACAGCAGTGAGGCTGGTTTCTGCCCAGTTCCATAACCCCTGGGGAATGGTGAGCAATGTGGCCCCCAAAGCTCTTCGGTTCACTCAACCATTAGTACCCAAAGCAGTGCACTCCCTCTGCCCTGCCTAATTTGTTAGCTTTGTACCACCAGAGTCTTACTAAGGGATAAGCTTTGGCTTATCCCCATCTATTAAAATGATTACCAGTTTGAATACTTGCAGACCTGCTGGTCTTGCTGATGCAGCAGGTTGGAAAGGGAAGCACATCCTGAATTCCCCTACTTTTTGGGATGTACAACAGGGCTCGTATGGCTAGCAATGAGGTCTAGTACATCTAAGGAGTGGTGTGGTTCAGTGCTCAACCTGTAACACATAAAACCTGGCTTAAGGCAGATAAAGGAAATGTAGTCACTAAACCCCTCACGCTGCCTGTCTAAAACTGCCGCATGGCTTGTCTTTCAGACAAGGTGCAACACAGTCATTTGCATCTGTTAGTGAGGCAGAGGGAGGCCACCTGAGCGTCTCACAAGGGCATGTTTCTCACCCATTTGGCACCTGTGCAAAGGGTGATGCCCTGACAGAGTGACTAAGCCATCAAGGAGACACATTGTCATGTGGTCTGACCCTAAAATGAGATATTGGCTCTCTACGTGCCACACAACCTAGCCTCTGCTTTCACACACTAGCACCTTCCACATCCCCTTTTGTCTTTCTTCATACAACTGCTGTGGCAAGCACAGCATCTGCACCCCAGTATCCCAAGTGCATCTGCCTTCCCTGTACTGGGCATTTAGACTAGGATACTTGGTTCAAAGCCTAGGCTGCTTGAACTGGGCTGCAGATGAGGTCCTGCCTCTGCTGAAGCCAATGGGCATTTAACTTTGGTTTCAACAGGGAGCTCATTTTTCCCTATACAGTGATGACTTGCTGCTTGGCAGCAACCCTGCAGGACATCAGGAAGAGCCTACATCCATTCTCATCCCCATCCTGCTCTGAGAAGCAACTTTTTCATTCCTCAGTTTCCCCCTCTGTATCTCAAAGGAAGCCCAAGTTGAAAATGTACCTTCCCCTTCCTTACGAAGTTCTTTGATACAGAGATCTAAAATACAACATAAGAGCTAACACTGACCTTCACTTTCCTTTACTGTGTCCAGACCTATTTAATGCCTATTTATGGCAACCTGGTCATTAGCACTATAAGAACAAATTCAACACAAAGAAAGCTTTAAACCACTGAAGTGGGGTGTGCCAGGCTGTCAGGACAGCTATTGTACAATACTTTCCTCCTTGCCCTATCAAAAGACAAAAGCTGCATTTGATGATTAAAGACACAGAGACCAGAAAAGCAACAAAAAAGGAATTCCTCTTGCAAGAAAGGAATTCCATATTTCCTAAACCGCACATTTCTCCTTTCCTCCTTGCTGCTAGGTCCCCTTGCGCTTCACCACAAGGGGATCAGAGCAGGGCTCTTCCCCCATCTTCCAGTTCACCTCTTGCAGCCCCTCAAGTCAGTCCTGGGCTAAGCTATCCCAGTAGTGTTAAGAAAGCTTGTGATGTGTGCTTTTTTTTCTGTTTGGTTTTCAGATAAACAACGGAGCAGGCAGCTGATGTGGGATGTGGACAGTCTCCGTGTCAGGCAGGGAGCTGCTGCCACTTGCTGGCATCCTGTCATGTAGAAGTAAAAAGGTTTTTCCCTCTGCATTTCTTCCCATGGAAGGTTTCAAGGATGAAAATGCATTGAAAGGAGGTGATGCACCTTCTGCTGAGCCTGGTGTTAATTGTTCATTTATGTTTTCAGGTTCTCTCATGGCTCACTTAGCATCCAAGGGCCTTACTATTGCACATTTCCTTTTATTTTCTCTCCATCCCTCTTCTTGGAGCAGGACTGCTTAGTTCCAGCGCTAGAGCCAGGGGAAGACCAGATGCTTTTGCCTCACTGAAACTCAGAGACAATGAGAAGATCTGAGTTAACCAGATCTTTCATAACTCTCCCTCTGAACTAAAATCAGGCTGGAATGTGATATTCATGTTCAGATGTGCATCCAAACAACAGTGAGATTGCTTCAAAGAGAAAAAGTACCCTAAGAATCCTATTATGAAAACATAATGTCCTGGTGGGTTTAGTGGTAACAGTTTGATGTCCCTTGAAAACACATGCACAGGCTCCCACTGTATGTACATTATATATTTATTCTGTCACTACATCATTTCTTGTCTTTCATTCAATTCCATTTCAAAATGTCCATCTGCATACACTGCCGGCAACACAGCAAAGCAACTCCAGTCTTGGTCTTAGTCATCAGTCCTAGGGATGTACTCACAACTCTGTATGAACAGTGCTGGGGAACACATGGGGTTAGTAGCATTTTCTAGCTTGGATATTACAGAAATGAAAATCCATACCCTCCTCAAAGAGTCATTAGGCTGGGCAAGTGGATGCAGGAAGGAAAATAAAAATGCAAAATAAGACTAGATCTTACAAAAGAAGTACTTTATTTTGGGTATCACGCCCTGCAGATATTTGGAGGATGCTGTGCTGTCCCAACAGACATCTTATGGCACCCACATTTCCTGGGAGAAGAGGCTTAGAGTTTAGGCTTTTTTCAACCTAAACGATTCTATGATTTTATGGTTGACACAAATAAGCTGTAAGGAGGGGATTCATTCCTTCCAGAAAGAGCACGACAAAATGACTGGGGGACACCTTTCTGCTGAGGAGGTGAAACTCCTGTGGATCATGTAAGCACAAGGCATACCAGTCCCGAGAAAAATGATTGTTTTCTGACTGTTGGTTTAGCTAGAGATTAGATAAAGCTAAAATAATGCAGTTCAGTCGTATTATCTAGGTTAAATTCTCAACACAAAGATAAAAATTATGACAGAAAGTTAGAGACTTACTCCAGCAGAAGTCAAGGGAAGGGAGAGCATTTTAACCACTAACTCAAAGGGTCCTTTTTTACAAAACAAACCTGAATTGCAAGTTGATATCTGGTCCATGCTCACAACATCCTTTGCTTGGCAGACCAAGAGTATCACCCTGGGAAAAGACCCAGAAACAATTTCTCAAGCATGTCCTTTTATGACCCCAAATATCTATTTTCTGTATTCATTTGCAAATATTCTGCAATGTGTTGGGGCTGGCCTTTTATCATTGGGGGAAAA